ACAAGATTCTATTATTAGAGATTAAATATGTGCTTTATAAATTTACCAAGAAAGAGGTAAAATATTAAAAAATGAGTATTAAAAATTTTATGAAAGTCCCTTTGAAACTCTTTACTGGAAATTACAGGATATTGTGTAAGTTTAGTGCGTTTTGGAAGATACTATACGTATAGGACTGAAAATTTTTGTTTTTATGTTTAAATCTAATCTAATCTAATAAATGTTGGACCTGATCAATGAATTAAATGTTACCAACAAGGTTTTCACTCCAATTGCTATATTAGCCCGGCCGTTTTGTTTTTTTCAAAAGGCCACGCTTTTTCTTAAACTACACATAAAACAAAAAGCTCTCGCACATCTTATTTCGACTTAATGAATTTTGTTCACAAGCTTGTTCCTCCTGACGTGGAACGTCCCATATACATATACAAGAATATATAAATAAGTTACAACGTATGGTGTAAATTTACAGACAAACATAAATTATATACTTTACATTAAGATTTTATTTCTATGTACAAGATAACTATACACTTGATTTAAAAGAAGAATTTAACCCTTAATTACAATTGACCAAATCTGGCCTACACGACTACACCCGCGGAGTAGTTTTGTACCCTAAATTTTAAGAGTTTTAACTGAAATAAAATTTAAAAAGTTAATAGTGTTTGATCTGGTGTAATAATTAAACATTTACAGACATGGCTTGTGCCAAGTGAGAAATATTTATACATATAATTGTACAATGAGATACATTTGTATCCAGCCAGTGTAGTTAAGAGTTATTATAAAAGAGAATTAAGAATTTTGTTTTTAGTTGGCAGTATTTATTACGCACGAATATAGTGCAACATTGTTTATTAACGCCACCTCATTTTCTTTTCTTTGTGTGGTTTATCTCTTGAAATATAATACGGTGTACTTCAATTCTAATCATGTAAGTAATTAATTTTAAAAAGTTGATTTGAGATGGCTTTATGGGATATCTATTTAACATTTTAATAGCTCATTGTTTGTAATTATAGGTGAAAAATCTGTTTGATCAAATTCAATGCGATTGGAAATTGATAGAAAATATGGACGAACTGAAAATAATTAAAAAATATGCATATAAAACAAAATTATGGGCAATCGCAACTACGTGTAAGTTCAAGAAAACACGGTTTTCGAATAATATTTGTGGGATTTGGACTTTGTATAGAAGTAAATAAAAAAATTAATTAAAAGAAAAAGAAGACAGAAATGTTTAAAACCAAATTAGCGCTTAGACAAATATATACAAATAATATACTACCAATTATTGTAAATATTATCTCTTAAATTTGAATATTTTCAGTTATCGTTTACCCAGGGACATTCTTGTTTGTTTCAACTGTATTTATACCAGATGTTCTTGACTTTATAGCGCCTTTAGATGAACCTCGTCAACGAAAATTTCCAATACAAGTAGAACTCTTTGTCGATCAAGAGAGATATTTTTACCATGTGTCAGTTTTCTTTATAATACTTGCTTTTGTGGGTATGACAATACTTATGGCGACGGAAAACATGTATATGATATTTATACAGCATTCTTGTGCATTGTTCGAACTTATCAGGTGAAACAATGAAATTCTTTACACAGGCGATATTTTATGTTAAGTTTTTGCAGCATTTAATCTCAACTAAGCATTATGTTATGTTTTTCACTATCTTGTGAAAAATGGATCGGAGACAATTCAATTAGCAAGTTTATTTTTAAATATTTTTCTTATCGATTACAATTTGCATGTTCTCTCAATCAAGACGTAATTGTATTTACAGTTTTCGCTTAACATGTGCGTTTGACACAGACATGTCAAAAACGACACCCTCAAAAACTAAATGTAAACTTTGCACTAAGTTGTTAAGTGCTCTTAACACTCATCAACATTGTTTAAAGTGAGTACTTGACATACTCTGTAATGCTATAATCGTTGCATTGAGCGTAAAATGAAAGCTTTTAATAGCATTTTATAAAAGTAATGAGATCATATGTATTCGTTACATCTAATTTACATATTATCGTTATACATGGTGTCCCAATTTAATGTTTCACCCCAGATAACTTCTCTATTTTTAATCGCAGAAAAAAACATTTCAGACAAAAGTTGTTCGGTTCGAAGGGGGACATAAGACGGTGCCATTTTGTCGAAAACGTTCTTTTCTGTGATTAAAAATAGAGAAGTTATTTGGGGTGGGACATTAAATTGGGACACCCTGTATAGTACATTTTATATGTTTGTAACGTACATTATTGCCGTAACTTTTTAAGATTCATCGAAACTATGCAACATAATTTTGCGATGTCTTACTTTTTCTTATTTGTTGTTGGTGTGGCTTCGGCCAGTGTTAACTCGTATCGCGTGAGTAACTTTTCAAGCATCATCAAAGTATAGAGGTCATAAATTATCTGACAATATTATATTTATTGATATCAGTTTATTGACGCAGTCACAGTACACGATATACTCGAAGCTATTTTATCCGGTTTATTTGTATACGCTCATGTGTGCTATGGTATATTTATGGGACATTTCGGACAGGATATAATTAACCATAGCGAATATTTTTTTCAACAAATGTGAGTGCATCTTGATAAATATCATGTTAATTTTCTTACTTTACAAAGAAATATTTTAACTATTGCAAGATTTCTGAATTATAGCAGTAAAAATAATTTTAAGTCTTTAAAATTATAGATATAGCACGCAATGGTACACAGCACCGGTACATGCCCAGAAATTATTACTCATGACATTACGGCAAAGCGCGAAGAGCAGTAAAATAATGGTCGGCGGTTTATTTGTCATATCATTAGAAGGTTTGGCCACGGTAATATTACGTCTACAATTATAAAAATATACACCTATGTATATTTTATCATATCACGCATATATTATTAACGAGTCAACTACTTGAATTTTTAAATAATTTTTCTCCTGTTTTTATAAGATTTATCTTCTATTGAATTATCTTATAAGAACAAATAGTATAACCTTTTAGATAAAAAATATTGTTATATAGTAAATTAAATTAATTATACATTAAGTGTGAAAATATTATTATACAGGGTGGTATGTAATACCCGCCTCACTTGTTATTTACAGATAGAGCGGATTAGACTGAGTTGAAAAGTCCTGTACCATTTTCCAATTTTTGCAATGGTTAACGAGTTATTAATTTTTAAAAATCGCTGTCTTAGCCCTGCCTACCGCCCAATTCAAGCGCCCAATTCAAGCGCGCAGCAGGATGCAGCCGTCCCGCGATTGGCGTTGCTTGGCGCGCGGGGGAGACACACGGCAACGGCTACGTATAATAAACTCTCCGCGCGCCTAGCAACGCCAATCGCGGGACGGCCGCATCTCGTCGCGCGCTTGAATTGGGTAGTAGGCCGGGCTAAGACAGCGATTTTTAATAAATAACATCTCATTAACTATTGCGAAAATTGTAAAATGGTAGAGGACTTTTCGACTTAGTCTAGTTCACTCTATCCGCAAATAAGAGGTGAGGCGAGTATTACATAACACCTTGCATAAAAGTCGGAAACATATATGTAGAAAATTTTAAGGGAGCAATTTTTTTAAATGAAACGTAAGGCAAAGGAGCAATATGAAAAAAACTTTCTTGTTTCAGCTTATAAGTATGACAATGTCTTACTGTATGGTTTTGTACTCGGTTCGTAAATAATAATGCAATATATTTACGGCAGGAAATGCAATCGTCACAAAATTATCTAAAGAATAACTTTACTGATAACAAGCCGATGAAGGTTACTTAATTACAAAAATAAAAATATATAACTGTGATTATTCCACGACTTTTATTATACATATTACAAAAATTTCTTTAGAAAAATAATTAGTAGCATAAACTTTATAATTCTCAAATTATACAATTTGATATAAAATATCTATACTATACATTATTCTTTATCTGCATAATTCCAATTTACATTTTTGTTTACTTTGTACTATATTTGTACTTAAAATTTGTCAAATTACAATGATTCACTAAATTAATACATAATTGTTTTTAGTATTGTTTTCTTTTACTTTTTATTTCTTTAAATTTGTGTCTAACATTTGTGTTTTGGTAAATATTTTGAACCACATGAATAATTTGCATGGTAAACACTTGTAGCGATAAATGCAGCTTTTGCAAGATTAATTTATGATAATTGGCAGTCCAAAGAATAATGAAACGTAACGGATGTCATATGTCACATCTGTGTCATCGCATCTGTATTAATATTGGCACGAAAATACGAGTTTGTAGATTGTTTGCGTACATAACTTCTTTGCGTGAAAATTGCTACGTATTGTATTTAAAAAATCAACAGAGATACGTATGTAGTACGTGTTCAATATATTCAATGGGTTTATTTCATTGACAGGGGATCTTATTTCAATAATAATTTTAGAACAAAATGTATTACAACAAAAAGGCATCGAAATACACAGAACTATTTTTCAGATTATTTAGATTTATTGTCTAGCTTTGCAATATTGTACTTACTCTAAACGTAATGATGAAAGAATAAAAAATGTCTGATGTTGGTAACGACGACATCAGTACGTCACACTGTTTACTGAATTTAGTTTAATTAATTTTGATCATGTGTTAAGTTGTATTTGATACACAGAATCTTATCCTGTTTAATCGGAATAAATAAATCAATTACTAACAACAATTGTTAATAGCAACTATCGCAGCAACGAAATCAAACATATTATTTTTACTGTCTTAAATTGTAATATTATAATAATATTTCTTTAATTAATAAACCAACTGTTTTTATGTAAGAATTAGTACTAAAAATACTAAGATTATTATTACTTTGTAACAAAAGACCCAATGGTATAAGGCATTCATGCATAAAAGTATTTATGCTACCATACGAATCTAAGGAAAGAATTGCAAAAAAGTGTAATCAACTAATAGAGTATCATATATTTTTTGTTATGTTTTCTTGTGTCTACGGATATGAAAGAATTGTCTTAAAAAAAAGAAGAACGAATCTAGTAGTAATTTCTAAAATTATATTATTTACTATTATTTCATGGTAATACGCCACTCTAATCATTACAGCCATTTCACCCCTTGTATAAGTAATTCTGCTATCTTTTTGTCGCGCTGCAATAACGTCATGCATAATGAAACGACTATAATCATCTTTCTTTCCCTCTTGGTTGCGGTCGAAAATGCGCTGTCAGTTGTCTCGCAGAAATGGACTTCGATGGTAGTCGATATTATACACTTAACCGAGTGATGTTATCAACTATCGGGTTATGGCCATACCAAAACGCATGGCATCTCCAAATTCAAAGAATGTGTTGCTTCCTTTATACTGTATCTTGCATACTAATACAGGTATTATCCAATTTTATTATTGACAAATAAGGATAATTACAACTATCAACTATATTATATTTTTATTTTGCTTTCTTTCGCTTGTAATGTAAGATTATATTTTATCGCGTGACTTGCAGTCATTTGCATTTGTCACACATGAATACAATTTGGATCTTCTTCTTGAAATTTTATCATGTTTGATTCCTTGTTTCATTGTCGTCTTGAAATATGTCACATATTGCGTGAAAATCAAATCGGTAAGTTAACCCAGTAATTACATTTCATACGATATAAACGTATGCACTAGAAAGAGTGCAATAAAACTTTTTAATTTACTGTAAATAATTTTTTCTGGACAACTGTTAAGAAATAGTAAAGTTGTTATAAATCAACATAATTAAAGTATTTAATTATAACAGGATTTGACATTAATACTTAAAATAAACATTGTAATAATTTAAAAACTGAGCATCATTATAGACATAAAAGTAACGTACATTGTGCGCAATTATAGATGAAGAAGATGATGGAGATGATAAAGTACGATTGGAATACATTGAAAAATAAAATGGAATATGAAATAATTAAGAAACATACTTATGTAGGAGCATTTTATGCACAGCTATTTGCATGTAAGATTGGTGATACTTTATTATGCTATATCACAAATGTGTGTAATACATTAACATTGTATAAATAATATTATACACTTATACTTAAAAAAACTAAATTTTCAAAATGTGTGTGCATTGTGCATTATGTGTATTGTGCTCATTATATTATGATTTTTTGTTTTTATTGCATTTTAATTTTTTAAATATAAAATTAATTGTCTCAGAAAAATTAACTATTTTAATTTATTAATTAAAATTAAAGAAGATATTTCTCAGCATTAACGCAAACTCTGAGCGGCTGGTACCAACGGGTGCTACACTAGCTACACTGTCAGCTACACCGCTTACACCACAGTGTACGCTACGGACATGGCTTGCGTTTGTGTTCGTGGGCATCGTGGTGTAAGCGGTGTAACTGACGGTGTAGCTAGTGTAGCACCCAATGGTACCAGCCGCTCAGAGTTTGCATCACTGTCTTGCTAGCTTCGTATTTATGTTCAAGTTTTTAACTTAATCTTCATGCAACAATCAATATTAATCTTGTATTAATAATTACAGTAATGAGCTATAGCTTTCCGATATTCTTCGCTAGCGTGCACTTTATACCAAATCTCCTTGATTTTGTGGCGCCGCTTAATCAGTCTCGTTTACTTCAACCGTTAATTGTAACGGAATATTTTGTTGACAGCAATGAATATTTTTATCCCATTCTTCTACATTTAGTTGGATGTATTTTTATGATTCAAATTACATTGATGTCTACTACATCTATATACGTAGCATTCATACAGCATGCATGCGGACTGTTTGAAATAGCTAGGTAAACTAAAATATGATAAATTAATGTAGAGATTCTATATATTTGAAATATATCTCACTTCTTTCATTGCAACTGTAAAATATAAATATACAGGGTGGCCCCGTATATTATATTTATTTATCGGTGGTTGATAAATAAAATATACGAGAAATACTCCTCGAGTTACCGATCTTATCTTTATTTTGGCTGGATTAACCATCGATCTCTCAAGCCTTATAACTTGAAAAGTACTTAATGAAAAAATACTTTATTATAGTATTTTGGAAAGTTCTCGAGATAAGCTACAAAAATGTCTAACGAAAAATAGGGGGTTCCATTTAAAAGAACAAAGTTGACCTTCATATGACCTTGGCACGTTCATCCAAGGTCAATCCATTGGTACCATCTTATGTTCCCCTTCGAATAAAACAACTTTTGTTTGAAACATTGTTTGATACAAGACCTTGGTTTTCGAGAAAAGTCAATGCGTCACTTAAAACGGGCCACCCTGTATAATTAAATAATGAATAACATTTTACTTTTTCATTAATTTTGCCACAGAAATAAATGTCTAAATTAAATAACAAGGTGCATTTTTAATTTCAAAACTTAGAAATTTGTAACAAATAATATATCAATTTATTAGTGAAGATGTCAATTTTGACCGGGCTAAACCTTGGTATTTGAATGTATTAATATCGATGTAAAAATGTGCTCAACATTTATAAGTTTTATATATGTATATTCTTTCAGCTATCGTATTGAACATGTTCTGGACAATTATAAAAGAGAAACTTTAATTTCTGGAAAACGTTGCGTAACTTGCACCAGAATAATTAGTGCCGTCGACATTCACAGACGAGCTATCGAGTCGGTAGTTTCTCATCACATTATTAAGGATTTAAATATTATTTATATTTTTTTCAAACTTAAGCTTATGTGGTAATTTTCTCGTGGATTTGTGCGATATACTCGACTATTCGACGATAATCACGTAACATCTTTGAGTGATCCATGCGTAACACTTTTTTCTTATTGTTAAAGGTTTTTCGAATTTATGAAGGATACTTTTGTAGTAATGTATTTTTTCTTACTTTTACTTGGCATAGCATCTTTAACTGTTAGTCTGTTTCGTGTGAGTAAGATGTTGTGGAATTGATAATTTCGATCAATGGAATAAATAATGTAAAAACATATACATATTAAAAATTGTATTTCTCGGGTATTGATATAAATATATTTGGTAAAGCGTTTTTTTCCACTGCAGAGAATTGAGATTTGAAAAATTTTTTAGGCTGTGAATACAAAGGGAATTATTGAAAATCTGTTTCCTGTAACAAACGTATTTATTCATTTATTTTATTTCTTTTTTGTCAATTATTCGGGACAAAAAGTATTGAATCGTAGCAATGATTTTTTACCAAAGATGTAAGTTGTAAAAGATCGATACTTATGAACACGTAATTTTAAATATTTATCATTTTATAGTTTTTTGCACTATGCACAAGAATGCTAATTACGTTCATACAGTGCTATGCACAAAAGTTTTTATTATAAATTATAATGTTATTAATGTTATTTTTATTATAACAAAAATTAGTCGTGCTGTCATAACTATCTCATATGCGAAACTTTCCTTAACATAAACACAATGCATAACATGATTATTTGCAGATTTGTAAGCATGTAAAATGTAAGCTCTTTTTATTTAATAACATTTGCTTTATTTGATTTCTGTATGTATAAAATAAAAATATACTTATATTGTTGCATAGTTATAATAATTATTAATTAATAGTTGTATAATTATAATAATTAATATGAAATTTATTTTAAAAAGTTGTAATGTGTATTAAAATTTTAATTTTACAATTTTTAATAAATATTGTATTAATTATCGTGTTAATATATTTTGCATAATAATTTTATTGTATACAGGATGTCATGTGATGATCGAATCCGTCGGAAAATTTAGATAGAGCGAGGCAAACTGAATCAAAAAGTCCTGTATCATTTTGAAAAGTTCTCAATAGTTTTTGAGTAATAAATAAAAATGTTTGGACGAATGAGCGCGCGAGAAACAGTAGGCCGGACTCGGGAGGCATGTTTTATGTGTTTAATCTCGTAGCAACGGTGGGCGTCCGATAGTGGGAGGTGGGGCGACGCGCCGAAAAAAGTTGTCGCCCAGCGAGCGGCGAGCTTTAGATGAAGTTTTCCGCTCGCCTCTCACCGCTGCGAGACTAAACAAAGAAGCCATTAAGTGTCTCTGTCGAGTCCGACCTACTGCTCGTGCGCTCATTCGCCCAGGCGTTTTGATTTATTACTCGAAAACTATTGAGAATTTTGCAAAATGATATAGGACTTTTCGATTCCGTTTGCCTCACTCTATCTAAATGTTCCAATTGATTTGAACATCGCATGACACCCTGTATATGTATATAAGGTGTTCCGTACTTTTTATAAATACTACCTTGGGAAGGTAGAACGGATTGAAATAAACAAGAAAGTCCCATACCGTATTGCAATATTTGCAATAATAAGTTCTATATTGAATATTAAAGTCGGACAAATAAGAGCGCGCCGAGACGGCACGGGGGAAGTGCGCAAGCCGTTGGAGTCATAGCACGGCCCAATTTATCTAGCATTGACTGGCGGCGCGTGGCAAGGGGATAGCGTGGCGTCGCCGCTTGCCGCCAACCAATACTAAATACAGTCGGCCGTGCTATGACTCGAGAGGCTGGGCGCGCTCTTATTTGCCCGACTTTAATATTTAATATCTAAAATATAATATTATTGCAAAATTGCAATACGGTATAGAACTTTTTTGTCCATTTCAATCCGTTCTACCTCCCCAAAATAATATTCATAGAAAAGTATGGGACACCCTGTATATATACACACGCACACGCACACACACACATATATGTATGTATAACTATTATATAACAATAATTAATAGTGATGTGTCATTATTATATTTTTAGATATAATTCTAAGTGGCATATGATGCCGTTGCACGCGCAGAAATTGATATTATTTATAATGCAAAGAAGTTTGAAAACTTGTATGTTACTCGTAGGTGGTATCTATATTGCGTCATTGGAAGGTTTTGCCACGGTAATACTACGTTTTGTTTTTTAAATTATGACATTATTTTCAACATATATGTTACCTTCTTTGCGGATTTTCTTCTTGTTTTAGGCTATGAGCACATCCGTGTCTTACTTTATGGTACTTTATTCAATACGATGATGTAAACGACAATTGCTTACAGTTGATATTATATAAAAATTAATATTATATAAAAAAGGAAATTTTTTAATTAACAGTAATGTATAATACCATCTGAAAAATTTTATACCTATACAGCTTTGTAATTTCAGAAGATTATAAGGTGTCACAAAATATTGTGTGTCTTCTACATGCCAAATAATATAAATGTGTTGTTCTTTGCAATTACTTCATTTCTTCGTTACTTAACTTCTATTTCTATAACATGTCAAAGTTGTATAAATCACAATTTCACATATTTATAATGTATGTTTTTATAAATTAATATAATATATTTTATTGCAATAATATATTTTATTTATTAATATATTAATATCTAAAATATAATGTGTTAGTATAAAGCTCTATCTTTGAGTGTATCTTATGGGTAAAATTATTACGTACCTAATGCACGAAAAATACAATACTATAATACTAACAGACTAATCGTAAGTGAAATGTAAACTGTAACTGCGCTTGTATGGGGAACAAATAAAGAATAGCCTCAAGAAACACTTTGATAAAAGTCTATAGAATGACATATAGAATAAAAGCATAATTTACATAATTGCTAGCATCGTTTTTTCTCATGCTGCGAATTGCCTTTATTTTGCCGTTATTTTTCTCGCCTTATATAGCTACATTAAACTGGAATTTGTGATATTGGATAATATGTGGAACTATAGAACAAAGTTCTCGCAAAAGGAAAAATAGTATCTAATAAAGAGCATTGTTGAATGCTACTGAAGTGAAAGACACTAAAGTACTTCGAACACGCGCACGCGAACTTATCAAAGAGGAATGGAATTTCTTGGATATCACTACTATAAACTATATCGAATCTGTCTACTGTCACTTGGTCTATGGCCATATGGTGACTCATACTTTAAGCAAATTTACGCAATTTTCTGTATCTTTACGATTCTATTTTCAATAATTGCTCAGGTATAACTTACAAAACACGTGTACTAAAACACTTAGTTAATGAAGGAGTATTAATATTCAATGTTTTATTAGACTATAATTTACATAAAACGTATTCTCTATATTGTTTTTTCTTTCTATTTTATTGATTATTATCTGAGCCCTTAGACTATTTTCGTTCTATATTGTATAAATAATACGTTACTTTTAGACGGCTTTGTAATTTATTTACTTTATTTTATCATTTTTCAACTATGTAATATTATGGCAATAGCACTCATGCAAAGTGTTAATTATGGAAAATTTTGAATACCGCCTGCAATATAAAAATGCTATTAGCTATTTTTAAAAGTATATAATAAATAATTTTTAGATTAGTTTTAAAAGATATTAAATTTATAGAATTATTTTATTGAAACATACAAGATTATATATATATATTAATTCTTTGAATATTAAACTTTGTGTGTGTGTGTGTGTGTGTGTGTAAGTTACAACCTATGTTTGTTGACTTTTAACTTCAACATAATAAGCAAATAAAAATAGTTTATTATTGCAAATATACACGAATATTGCAATCTAGTCTCAATAATGTCAAATAAAAATATATTTTTTTAAATTATGATAAAAATATTACTAATACTTATAAATAGTATTTTATATTTTAAAGCTTAATAAAATAAAAAATTTAAAGAATTATGTTATACATATACATATACATACAAGTAATTCTTTATAATTTTTATGCAAACAAACATGCACTTTGTATTCTGGACTGATAAAAGAAGAAACCGTTTTGCTAGCTTGACGATATGTATACAATTTATGATTTCAGTTGTTGAAAATATTTACAATGGAATACAATCTCGAGTTAGTGTTAACTGATTTGTCATTTGCTATTCCTTTCATAGCTTTTCTTTTAAAATATAGTACTTTTTATATACTATCTCAAAAGGTAAGGTTTTGCATGAAATTGTTTCGACGATTCATTATCTGAGTTTCTTGTCAATAAACTTAACGCATGAAGCAGATTAAAGAATTAATGGAACATATTCAAATTGATTGGAATGGGTTACAAAACGAAGGAGAAGTCGAAATAATACGGAAATATGCCAAAACCGCAAGAAACTACATGTATGCAGTTGTGGGTAGGATATCGAATAAAAAGTATAAATTATACAATATAGATTTATTTTGTATAATTACAAACAAATCTATTTTGTCTACGAATGACTTTTGTTTGTAATTTCTTATAGGCTAGTCTTAAGAAATTTTATGGTTTCAGGCCTAACTTATCCCAGTATACTTCTTCTTATTTACATTTCAATGCCAGATATTTTTGACGTTGCAGCATTAAACAAATCACATATACCAAATCTTCCATTCTTTGTAGAATATTTTCTTGATGAACAAAAATACTATTATCCCATATTATTGCATACAATTGCAACGATTACTATCGGAGTTGTAACAATTCTAGCTACAGAGACATTGTTTTTTGCATATATTTATCATGTTTGCGGCATGTTTGAAATAGTTAGGTAAGATATATTGTATGTATAATGTATGTATAATGAAGACTTAAGCGAATAAGAAGAGAATCGTTATATTTGTAGATAAAATTACATACATACACGTATAATTCTTGACTATACATGATTATTATCTACAGGGTGAGTCTTTCCATATCCGACAAAATTTTTGAGAAGATAGAACGGATCGAGATGAACGGAAAAGTCCTGTACCATTTTGCAATTTTCGTAACAGTTAACAAGTAATTAATTATTAAAAATCGTTGTCTTGGGCCGGCTTACCGCCCAATTCGAGCGCGTGGCAAGATGTGACCGCCCGGCGATCGATATTGCTATGCGCACATCTCGCCACGCGCTCGAATTGGGCGGTAGGCCGGCCTAAGACAACGATTTTTAATAATTAATTACTCGTTAACTATTACGAAAATTGCAAAATGGTACAGGACTTTTCCATTCATCTCGATCCGTTCTACCGTCTCAAAAATTTTGTCGGATATGGAAAGACTCACCCTGTATACCTACTTTGCATTTATTACAGTTACCGAATAATGTGTGCATTAAATAAAAGCATATTATTAACATTAAATAAGGAAAATACAATTCGCGTCAAATTAATTGATGCTATAGAAATTCATCAGAGAACTTTCGAGTTAGTATTCTACTACTTTTATTAACCATAATAAATTACATTAACATTGTTTTAATTTCTTCATAATTGTCTCTTATGTAACTATTTTAAAACAAGTCTTTAAATTAAATTTATTAATTTTTATTAAATAAGGATTTTATTAATTAAAGAAAGAACCTATCTTTATTTATTTATTTACACATTTTTTTGTTATTCATTGTTGCAGATGTCTTTATCTTCCCTAGTTTTATTAATTTGTTGCGATTTTAATGTACTCTTGTATTATGTTATAAAGTTTTGCAAATATCTGTTAAAAAGTATTTTAATGATAAAAGTTTTTATTTTTTTAAAGGTTTTTTGAATATTTAACATCTACATTTGCGTTATCCTACTTCTTTCTAAGTGTTCTGGGCGTAGCTTCTTTGAGTATAAATTTATTTTGTGTAAGTAAAAGAAATTGATTTGCGCACCATTAGTCGTATGTTTATATACGAGTATGTTAATAAAAATATAATACTTCCAGTGTATCTATTTATTTTAATCGAAGTAGCATCTGCACATAGAGAATATTAGTATAAATTCTTTTGATATGTTTCAGCTTTCTCAAGTTGCCATTCTAACAAATAAAAAAAAAGATGTTGCACCATTTGCGGTTTTTGTAATCGGTCATTTTTATTATTTGTTTATCTGGAATTATATGGGACACAAGGTTATAGATAGTAGTACAGAAATTTTTAAAAAAGCGTGAGTATCGTCGATGAATTAATGATTCAAGTTATTATGTCCATTTAATGTCATACATATGTAGATTTATTATATCGGAATAGAATTATTTTATATAAAATGTAATAATTTAATACTTTTACGGTTAAAATCATTTATACAATATATCAAAACTTTATTACAAATACTATTAATTATGTTGTTGGCAAATATAAAGAATTGCTGAAGTTAATAAATATTTAAAATTAATAAGGATATTTCCATCAATTATACTTAAACGCGCAATGAGTTGAATAGCTTTTTTTCTAGAACAGGGAAGTACATTGAATATTATGAAAATTTTTAGATATGAAACACAGTGGTACACGGCGCCTGTGCAAATGCAAAAATTATTATTGTTCATTATGCAAAGAAGCATGAAATCTTGCAAATTGGTTATGGGTAACGTGTATTATGTGTCACTGGAACAATTTACTTCGGTAACTTGTGACATGGATATGACAAGAAATCTTACTTCATATTTTTCTCAAAATAATAAATTAATTTTTTCAGCTTGCAAGCATGTCGTTATCTTACTTCACAGTACTTTATTCTGTGCAGCAATGAAATTTGTAAAACGAATGGAAACATAGTGAGTGGTATAGTTATTTCTATTCGAAGATAATAGCTACTTTTAACACATTTTATGCAAATCAAGGATCAAGCTGGAAATTTATAATAGTTTATATGTTGCTCGATAGAATTTTGTTCTTTATCTATATTGAATACTATTAATAAATAATAATTTGCACTCTCGTAATGTCTTTTAATTCTATAGCTCAATATTACAATTACATTGAGTAATTTAAATTTATATTAAATAATCTTTTAAACACTAGAATGTAATATAAAAATAGTATTATATTCAGTTTAAAACTTATTGCATGAATGTAAATTCAATAATCTTTTTCCCATTATTATTTTTGTGGGTAACACTTTAACAATTTTAGTAAAAACTAAGTAAAATACCGAAAAAGAATTTAGAAATATATCGGATGACAGTTGACGTCACATAAACATTAACAAAGAAATTGCGTACGATCACGCTCTCCTCAAGTTGAAATATAATAACAAAATATAGACGCTTATCCATAAAATATAAGACACTCTAAGCAAACTCAAATAATTTGCGATGGTTAACTCTTTTTTAAAAAATAACGATTTATACAATCTTAAGGTAAAAACTAAGTTATTTTTAATATCACGTAAACGTAATCTTATTGTGTTACTTATTGTATTATCATTACATTTTTCACTCTATTGGTATTATTTTATAATATTGATACGTTCGACGAAACAAGACTAGTAAATAATGTATTATTATTTAGAAAGTAATTTTTTTATTTTATTTTAATTATTTAGAAAGTAATAGGATAGTAGGCAAAAGTTGTGCGTGTGCGTGTGTGTGCGCGCGCGTGTGTGTGGGTAGGTATGTGTGTGTGTTCAAAAATTAAAATCAAAATTAATCCTTAGGGAAACATTGAAACATTTTAGTATAAATGTATCTAATTGTAAGCAGATACAATCTTGCTTTGGAATCGATGTTGTAAATTAAATCGGATATTTTTGTTGCCGTTTTACTTATGGCTATATCGGATTTATGAAATGGAAGCTGATTCAAACGATCTTCTGCATCGTCATTTTTCTTATGTTTCACACGATTACGCAGGTAATACAAATGGAACTTAAATATATGTATATGTACACTTATACATAAAGAACATTTAATAAGACGTACATAAAGAAAGATATATACATATAGTTAATATAATAACGTATTAATTATCAACATGAAAACAATAGTGAAAATAGACAATATACATATATAGAAGGGTACACTACAGTAACTGTTTTCTATTTTCTTTTTTATATTTATTGACTTTTTATTTTCGCCGTAATTATCGTAAGACATGTATGAGACAAAAATGTCATACAAAGCACAACAAAATGAAACGTTTGTGTGTACACATATGTAAGGAAGATAATTGAAATGTATTAAAATATCTTTGAATTAGTATATGTTTGCATAGTTGTGATAGTATGATTATTTTTATAGTTTCAGAGATATTCATTGATAGAGATACATAAATATTTATATGATATTATGAAATTATTGATTTATAATATACTTTTAATAAGATAAAAATTTTGCAGTTATATTTATTTATCTGAAATAAAATTATTTCTGTAACTCAGTTCCTGTATATTATGTAATCTGTTCTTATTTTCTATTTCTTATTTTAATATCATTCTTACAAATTGTTTACAAAAAATTGTTTTAAAAATGACAACCACACATAAAAATTAAATTTAATTGTTAGTGTGTGATTAAAACAAGTACATGCTAGTATTATTATATGCCACTTCTTTCAAGTACTAAGTAAATCGCATTTTACCTTATGTATTTTATATTCTCATCAATGACTTTGTTATTGATGTCAGGTGTTAGAACTAACTCGAGCTATAAGAAAAGATGTTATTCTCAAGACGAATTAAATGCGAATGTATCGTGTTTGAGTAGCATAGATGTTCCACTCGTTACTGCGCGTGCGTTAGTTCAGTGGGGAAGAAAATATCGCTTTATTTTTCGCCTTAGACCATATATTGCGTAATTTAAGTAATTTAAATAATTGCATCTTTGCTTCTCTCTCTCTCTCTCTCTGTCTTTAAACAGAACTTCTCTCTGCCTATACATATAACAACGGAGTTATTATTCTATTGAGGAAATTTAGTAAAAAAAAGGAAAAAAAGACGCTATACCTTTTTTAATAGCGTTATAATTTTGAACAACAACTGCAATTCGATATCAATTGTAAAAATTGAAAAAGTTCAAAGACTTAATAAAACACGATAGGAATGATCATAAGAATTCGAGTGGCAAGTAAATAAACGTTCTTACCTATTGAACGAATATGGATCTTGTAAGTAACATACATCGCTATTATAACATACATCGTGTTCTTTTGACTTCAGTCGGTTTGTGGCCATATCAAGATCTGAAAATGAAAAAAGTTCAATGGGTTATTTCTTCTGTTGTTCTCTCATCTTCTATCATTATTCAAGTAAATAAATATATTTAATACAAATATGTATAGTACAAACATTTTTATGTGATGTAACACCTTGTGTGTACTACAAGCCAATATATATTTTTATTAACATTTTTATTATTTTCTCAAGACATTTTTGAATCTATGTGCTAAGATTTAACAATAAATTTGTTCAACTTTGGCAAGCAAATAATTATTATTTTTAGTTTATGAAATTTCTCACAACTGAGTACAGTCTGGATCTTCTACTGAAGGTTCTGTCATTTGCAGTACCTTGTATGGTGTTTGTCTTAAAGTATGCTTCTTTTTGCTTCGGTAGTGAAACAGTAAGTCAACAGCAGTTATGAGATTTATTAATATAAGACAATATGAAATTTTTATAATATATCTTCTATCAACATTGCGTTGCTAGCGCTTTATATAATATTTTGGGTTAACTTGGGTTAGCTTAAAAAGTCTAGAAAATCTACAGGTAGAATATCTCATGGAGAGTGTTATAAGCGATTGGAATTTGCTGGAAACTAATGCTGAGCTTGAAATTATAAAAAAACATTCTGATTTTGGACGATTATATGCATTGTTCTTTACACGTAAGACAAATGTTCTTTAGTATATTTTGCATTAATCTGAAATACTTTTAATGGATTAATTTATTTTATTAAAACATTTAAAATTTTATAATACAAGAAATATATGGATTTTATTTACAATATATTTATATTTTATATACTTTCAGTGGCTGTGTACTCCGGTTTGTTTTTTTATTTGTTGATTCAATTTATACCAAATTTCCTCGATATCGTAGCACCGCGAAACGAATCACGGTTGCATAACATACCACTAGCTGCAGAATACTTTGCCGATGAACAGGAATATTATCTTCCGATTTTATTGCATATCGATATAATAGCTCTTATAGGATTCACCACTGTGATTTCTACGGAATCTTTAATTACAGCGTATGTGCGACATGCCGTAGGGATGTTTGAAGTCGCTAGGTAAATTTTAAATTACATTGTACTTTTTTCACAAGAAAATTATTTTTTATATACAATAGTATTGAAAATATTGAAAATTGGAAATAAAAGAGATAAAACAAGGAAGTAAAAATGTTTCAAAAAGGTTTCATTTATGAGTATTCATCAATACTACACTTTATGATATAATTTATATCATGTGAATAAAAATAATGTATTTTATGCATAATGAGAGAAATTAGTTTGTTGCACATCTAATTATTTTAGTTACAGAATAGAACATGCATTTGACGAAGTATTAGACATGATGACATCACAAAAATGTTGTTCGTATTGTAGAAAAATAATAAACGCCGTTCATATTCATAGGAGAGCGACACAGTTGGTATCTCTCGAAAACTATGTTTGTTTTATGACATTCTTTAATGAGTATTAATTTTTGTGGTAAATTACTATTTGATCGATTAATATATCTCATTTTATTTAACATTTATTTCAAGTAATAATGAGCGAAAAATATAAATTATATTTAAAAGTTAATATTTTATAGTAAATAATCAATGTATTATTTTATCAATTATATTTAGTATGAATGAAATCAGTACAATTTATTGTCAAAGTATTTGTTTTATTCAAGATTTATCGAGTTTTTAAGATCCGGCTTTGTTATTTCATATTTTTTCTTACTTTGCTTGGGAGTTACTTCTTTGACTGCTAATTTACTGCGTGTAAGTTTGTTACTGTATTTTGTACTGTATATACGATTAATCAGAATAAAATTATAAAACATATTTTATCTCTTACATAGCTCTTTTTAGCTACACAATATCTAGACAATTTACAAGAATGCATTACAGCCGTGTTACTCGTCCTCGGTCATATTTATTATATATTTTTTGGCAACTACACTAGCCAGAAATTAATAGATCAGAGCACAGATGTATTTCACAAAACGTGGGTATATTTTGTAAAATAATTTGTAAGATCAATTTTCATAGATTATTATAGTTAAATAGACGCATAAAGTTTTAATGCATCCACATAATAACGTGAAATTTTGTATATTATTTATATTACATACAAAATAATATTGAAGAAATTAAAAAGCGTGTACGTAATCGTTTACCAGAGATTTTATTTTGCGATTTAAAACGATAAAATGTAACATGTGAAAGATATAATTTTTTAAATCTCACAATAATGTATTTTAATTATATGTATATTGTTATTAGTAATAACTATGTAAATACTTATGTCAAACTATATAAACGCAATACTAATTATATTGTGTTTGTAGATATGTATCACAATGGTATGATGCTCCACTGCATACACAAAAATTACTATTATTTATGATGCAACAAACCATCAAAGGTACCGCTATGTCCGTGGGTGGTATATTTGTCCCATCGTTGGAAGGTTTTGCAACAGTAATTAATCATTTTAATTTGTTGTAATATTATAATAGTATTGTCTCGCGTATATGAAAAATAAGTCTCTCGTTTCAGATCACCAGTATGTCGGTCTCATACTTCACAGTAATTTCTTCTATTAAGTAATATCAAAATATCGATCATAAAGTCAGTCATATATGTATAGCAGCACACATTTTTAATTTTAAAGAATCCAAATTCCGAGACATAATAAAGAGATCTTTAAAAAACTTATTATATCTATAAATACTATCAACTAGAAGAAAGTATATAAACACGTTTAATATATAATAGTTATTAATTTATTTTGTCTTACATTTTATTTTATATTGTTTATACCGATGGTATATCTATGATAAGAAAGATAGAGTTAACTGCAATGTATGGCGATACATCTCAAATTATTGTAAATTTCATATTGCACTCTTAACTAATTAGATAACAAGCTTGGAGAATGATGTAGGTTTGTTAAAATACATGTACTGTGTCGTTGTACGTGCAGATATAATACTGGTAATACTGAAAAGCGTGAAAAACAAGACCTTCCGGCAGTATATTCATCCCATCATCCGAAGTAGTGCAAATATACTGGTAATCCGATATAACTTTGAGCAACGATGCGAGGTGAACACTTTATGTTGCAGCTTACCAGCTTGTCGCTGTCTTACGTTATGGTAATTTATTCTATACGTTCGTAGTGTGCGTTGTTATATAAAGAAAGTTGCAGCTGATTTGCATTAATTTAACACGAAGATCAACTAGCAGATCTGTTTGGCAATGGCGGATGTTGTAATTGATGCCACCATTTGGAAGCTTATTGGCTGACAATATTAAGTTACCATAATATACATCTGTCTTAATGATTTTAATAAATCCAATATTATTGCTATCGCCAGAATATTTTATTAGAATAAAGATTAGAGAAAAGAGAAAATTATTGCTTAAAATGTACAATAAATTTAGCTAAAATCTATTTTTGTAATAATAATATTCAAATGGATCAATTTAAACCTAATTATGGAATTTGTTCAATTAGCTGTAAGAATAATAGTAAAATACAATATTGTGTAAAATTGGATAATATATAAGATTTTGTCTATGACTTTAAATTAGAAATTAGAAAAAAATGAATTTTCTATTAGAAACTATTAGAATCTATTAGAATAAAAAAAGTCGATCCCCACTTTTAATAATCATAAATGTTTCTAAATTTCCTATAAGCAGATAATGTTAGATTGTGTTACAGAAATAATATTAAAACATTACTATTATATCAACTCTTACTGACTTGTTGAATGAAAGATAAGAATTGCAGGAGCTAGGAAGCTTCCTGTATAAAGAATTGAAATAAACTGAGGGATATAACCACAGTTGCGCTTGCGCTACTTTAAACGAAAGAATAACAAACATCATATCTACGAATTTAAATATTAAAGAGAACACATTATCGTATGGCAATTTACTTTACGTTTTGTCTTTTCCATGAGGCGCCAACCTGGCGTCGCGCGTCATGAAAATTGTCCAATTATGGTCATTATCAGTTATTTTAATATTGCTACTTATGAAAAAAGAAATTGTACAGAAGTAATTGATTCTAAAGTATCTAGGAACAGAGGGAGAGTCTGTCTCGTGTGAATATAGTCGTATTTTTGCCAGAGTACAGAATGGACTTTATTGGAAGACGATACTATAAGATCAATAAATTTGCGCTGAATTTTCTTGGATTGTGGCCATCTCAGGCAAAAACAAAGCGCATAAAAATTCGAGTTATATTCATCTATACTATGTGTTTAACCTTTTTATTTTTTCAGGTGCATTAATTCTTTTTATTACAATACGCGGCGGGTAAAAAATTGACACACTTGAATCGTTAATAATTTAGAATTGTTGTTATTTGCAGTTATGTACATTGGTTACTTCCAAGTATAATCTGGCTCTGGTTCTTAAAGTTTTTTCTCATTTCTTGCCTTCTTTCATTTATACTGTGAAGTACAATGCTTATTATATTAATACTAAAAGTGTGAGTTGTATTTTATACCCTTTTTCATTTAATTTTCTCGCTAAATTTTTAATTATAATTCCGTTTTATAAGTTTGTTTATTATTGAAGAAACATATATGTATGTAGATATAAATATTTAGAATCTTTATCTTAATTATGCATGTAGTTAAAAATACACAAAGACTCTACAATTGGTACAACAGCACAGATATTTTTCTATCATTGCTATTTATAGCAATATATTTATAATAATACAATTGTGAGAATATTTTCATAACGATGCATTCGAAAATATAGATTTTTATGACTTTTTTTGCACATCATCATGATATAGAATGCAAGAAAAGTTAATATTGTTAAATAATATATACATACATATAATATAATTATATATGTATATTGTTATTAAGATCTCAAGTATCGCAATTATAGGTTAAATTATTCATGATTGAAATACAAAATGACTGGAATGCTTTAAATGACAAGAAGGAAATCGAAATAATCGAAAAATACGCTTATTTCATGCATGTTTTTACGGGAATTATTATGCGTAAGAGAAGAAGATATATTTTGGAATTCTGTTTAGTTCTCTTGAGATTTATTTAGAAAACCTTATTTAAAGCATTATTTTATTTCAACATTCCACAGTATTTACTTGTACCTGTTTGATCGGCTTTATCTTTGTGGAATTCTTGCCAATTATACTCGATATTGTTGTGCCATTGAATGTATCTCGACCGCATGACGCCCATGTTACAACGGAATATTTTATCGATCGCGAAAAGTATTCCGTTCTTATAATATTACATGAAGTTGTTACGGTTTCCGCAGGAGGCTTAACAATGGCTGCTACCGGAACAATGATTATGGCTTATGCACAACATGCTTGTAGTTTAATGAAGATTGTTTGGTGAGAAAATCTGATTATGATTAATCTATGAAATTATTGATCGTTTAATTGATTAAAGAGACGTTTTTAGCTATCGTATGGAACATGTGTTAAACGAGAATATGCTGCAACATTCTAATCCTCGAATAGAACGCATAATCTGCAACAGAATAATACACGCCGTAAATTTGCACAAGAGAGCTCTAAAGTGCGTATCAGATTGAATTCATAACAATAGAAGAAGACGGTCAAAAATGTAGCTGATGATATTTGCTTTGATATATCAATATATGTATAGTCAAACATTGCTTACAATGATTATTAGATTGCAGATTTGTTCACTAAATTATTTATTAATAACAAAATAAAAGTAAACGGTGGTCTGAGATTTACTGTCTTTATCGAAAACTGAACAAATTACATGAAAAAATAAATAGCACATTCACTACAGTATGCAAATTAGTTTTTTTTCCAAAACGTGGTTATTACAAATTTTATAATAAAATAATTTCTATCGTAACAATATCTTTCATAGTACTTTTGAATTATTTTAATGCTATATCTCAGTTAATATAATATTGTACTTATTTCAAGTACTAATTAGATATTGTATACTTATCTTCCATCGATATGAGATCTTTCTTTCCTTTTTTTTTAAGATTCGTTGATCTAATTTTGTCAGCTTTTGCGATATCATATTCTGTTTTAATTATCAGCGGTGTTGCTTCCATAAGCCTTAATTTATATCGCGTAAGTACAAGTACTCAATGACACTTTACTCACGTAAAGTACTTTACTCGAGTAAATTTTACATATGTACAGTTGCATATTGCATAGATCATTTGAAAATTTCTTGAAATGAAGTACATATAGCACTTGCACATAAACATCATATACATAAGGCTGTTTCATTTGAACCAAATTACGTAAAGCGTAGTTAAATCCGGCCTACTACTTTCCGTGTGTTCATTCGTCCAGATGTTTTTGTTTATTACTCAAAAACTATTACGAATATTGCAAAATTGTACATAATTTTTATATTCAATTCACTCCGCTCTATCTACTCTCTACGGGTGATTCGGTTAAAACGGTATACAGAGTGTTTCCATTTCAACGTCAAAACTTCAGGAGTGTGTGAGAGGACCGATAAAAAAGTCCTTTGAAGATTTTCTGCTTTATTTTGGAAACAGTCGTAAAGAAAGAAAGAAACCATTTTTGTTTTTCCATTATTTTGCTTTCTTAATTTTACTTATTCATGTTATCATCTATTTACGTAATGAAGATATATTATTCAAAATGCTGGCCTCTTGCAGCAATACAAGCATTACATCTAGCATTGAATGCTCTGATTGCAGCTAGACATTGTTCTTTGACCACCCCGATTACTCGATATAATACCTATGGATTTCTTCGTGTGAAAAACCTTGGAGGGAAAAGTTTATTTGGCCAAGTTAATGTCAGTCAACTCAAGAGAGCAACTGAGACATCGTAGTTGCAATGCACCAAATATCACCAGAACAATGTCTTGTTGCAAGATAACTCAGTGCATTGATGTAAAGAGAGATTGCGTAGAAAAATTAACATAATTGTAAAAAGATATGAGCAGTTTTCTCTATTCCATTGCGAGAACTTTTCAAATGATTATTGTGAAAAGTTATGATAACACATCGTTTGGTTATTATGCAATATTGCAGCTTCTTCAACCGTATATGAGACATGACATTACAGAATTGTTTTCAACTATTATACTCCTTCTGGCTCATTTGGTTTATATGTTTATGGCCAATTATGTTGGTCAAGTAGTAATAAATCATAATGACGATATTTTTACTACAACGTGAGTATATCGTAAAATTTTTACTATAATACATTTTTTAATTTTAATAAGTAGTAGAA